CTATTGCATTCCAACATGTCTATGAAAAATAGCTAGAAATTTTTGAAACCAAACCTATTCAGTTCTTAAGGTGCTAGACTCTTATTGAATTATTAGTACCATTTCCTTTCTGCTGAAATTTTGATGACAAGGTCATCATTCATTCAACCAAGTGTGGCCATTTTAGATTCAGTTAAGTGTCTTTATTCAAGGTGTCCTCATAGGCTCCTTTATTTGTTAGAACTCTTTCAAAATGAATAGATAGATGAACCACCAGAGCACAGCAAAGGGAAACTCAAGGGCCAGGCCTTAACTGATGAGACAAAACAAACAAAAAGATGACATAATTACAGACTTGGGAAATTGTTCAAGATATTAGAGGAAAAATCTATCACTCAATATGATAAGTGTTTTGTGGGGAAAAAATGATATACAAAGATAAAGTATTCAAATAAAATGGAAGTTACCTGTTGATGGTAAGGTTTCAGGTGATTTTTAAAGTTTTTTTCTATAAATTCCATGTTAACTTTTTTAACAAATAAGAAGTAAAATGTCAAAAAAAAAAAAAAAAAGAAGTAAATGTCACTTCTGATAGGCTGATGCTACACTCTAGCCTTCAGTGTCTTTGCCCTTCGCCAGCTTCTGGACCAACTCCGGAAGCTTGGGTGCCCTTTGCCTGCCTTCTCTGGAGCAAGCAGGGAGTCTTTACAGCAGCGACCATCAGAAAGCAGCAGGTGCTATTCCAACCTATGGGAGCACAGAATGCTTCCAAGAAACGGCTCCTGTTCTGAAAAAGTTCTCAATCTAAGTTGGAGACATGACAGGTGCTTGTGTGCTCAGTAGCTCAGGAATGTCCCACTCTGCCACCCCATGAACTGTAGCCCTCCAGGCTCCTCTGTCCATGGAATTCTCCAGGCAAGAAATTGGGGCCGGCTGCCATTTCCTTCCCCAGGGGATCTTCCTAAGCTGGGGATCAAAGCTGTGGGTGAATAGGCGCATTGCCCTGATGGTACCAAGATGAGTTCTAGAAGCTGGGTTCCATGGAGGATTCAGTCACACACACAAAAATAAACCCTGCAGGATGTCGGGCATGCTCCATTAGCCCTCTGAGCTTTGAGTTTATTGTTTATAAAATGGATGGACTGACAATAGTATTTTTATTTTTAAGGTAACGTTGAGAAGCCTTTTCTTAAAGCCCCAGGGACATCCCTGACTTTAAAAAACTAGAACCTTGCCTTAGAAGGACATAGCATATTAAAGAAGATCTCATACTGACTTGGACTAAAACACTAGGTACATTCCCATTAAAGTAAAAAATGAGATAGGGGTTGGAATTAATGAATTAGTAATAATTAGCTGCTAAATGTGTGTCTCCCAGCCCAGGATACAGCTGCAGGAGGGCAGGTGCTGTTTCTGTCTTCTTCTGTGCTATACCTGCAAGGTCTGGGACAGTGCCTGGCACAGAGAAGTCCTTCATGAATGTTTTATATAAGGAAGAGGAAAAGGACACAGGTACACAGGCTGGCTGTTTCCATCACTTTTCTTACCCTGGATTAAGACAACATAAGGAAATTAAAAGCATAACTATCACAAAGCTAAAATCATTATTTGTAGATTATAATATTATCTACATTAAAAACTCATGAGGAATTCTATTCTAAAAAAAGAAGTCAGATAAAAAAATAAAGGTATTTTGCTTGATGCAAAATTTAAATACTATAAAGATGTCATTTTTACATGTAATTCCACTGAAAATCTCAGGATTTGTATTTACTGATGTTAGTCTGAGGCCAACATGAATACACCTTAAGTAAAAAGAGAAAATGGCTTCCGTTTTTTAAAAAAATTATTTATTATTTATTTATTTATGGCTGTACTGGATCTTCGCTGCTGCACATAAGTTTCTCTAGTTGTGGCCAGCACGGGCTACTCTTCATTTGGGTTTTCAGGCTTACTGTGGGGGCTTCTCTTGTTTTGCACAGTCCCTAGGCACATATCTTGAGTAGCTATGGTGAACGCGGTTGGCTTGCAAGCCTTAGAGCACAGGCTCAGTAGTTGTGGTACATGGGCTTAGTTGCCCCACGGCATGAGAAATCTTCCCACATCAGGGATCAAACCCGTGACCGCTGCATTTTCAGGCAGATTCTTAAACACTGGACCACCAGGTAAGTCCAGAAGATGGTTTTCTGAAGTACTTTTAAGTATTTCTGAAAGCTGAAATGCTTAAAAGTATGATATTAGTTGGGCTTCCCTGGTGGTGCAAAACTAGCTGCCAAACTGGGCTTCCCTGGTGGCTCAGATGGTAAAGAATCTGCCTGCAATGTGGGAGAGCCAGTTTGAATGACAATAGTATTTTTATTTTTAAGGTAACGTTGAGAAGCCTTTTCTTAAAGCCCCAGGGACATCCCTGACTTTAAAAAACTAGAACCTTGCCTTAGAAGGACATAGCATATTAAAGAAGATCTCATACTGACTTGGACTAAAACACTAGGTACATTCCCATTAAAGTCAAAAATGAGATAGGGGTTGGAATTAATGAATTAGTAATAATTAGCTGCTAAATGTGTGTCTCCCAGCCCAGGATACAGCTGCAGGAGGGCAGGTGCTGTTTCTGTCTTCTTCTGTGCTATACCTGCAAGGTCTGGGACAGTGCCTGGCACAGAGAAGTCCTTCATGAATGTTTTATATAAGGAAGAGGAAAAGGACACAGGTACACAGGCTGGCTGTTTCCATCACTTTTCTTACCCTGGATTAAGACAACATAAGGAAATTAAAAGCATAACTATCACAAAGCTAAAATCATTATTTGTAGATTATAATATTATCTACATTAAAAACTCATGAGGAATTCTATTCTAAAAAAAGAAGTCAGATAAAAAAATAAAGGTATTTTGCTTGATGCAAAATTTAAATACTATAAAGATGTCATTTTTACATGTAATTCCACTGAAAATCTCAGGATTTGTATTTACTGATGTTAGTCTGAGGCCAACATGAATACACCTTAAGTAAAAAGAGAAAATGGCTTCCGTTTTTTAAAAAAATTATTTATTATTTATTTATTTATGGCTGTACTGGATCTTCGCTGCTGCACATAAGTTTCTCTAGTTGTGGCCAGCACGGGCTACTCTTCATTTGGGTTTTCAGGCTTACTGTGGGGGCTTCTCTTGTTTTGCACAGTCCCTAGGCACATATCTTGAGTAGCTATGGTGAACGCGGTTGGCTTGCAAGCCTTAGAGCACAGGCTCAGTAGTTGTGGTACATGGGCTTAGTTGCCCCACGGCATGAGAAATCTTCCCACATCAGGGATCAAACCCGTGACCGCTGCATTTTCAGGCAGATTCTTAAACACTGGACCACCAGGTAAGTCCAGAAGATGGTTTTCTGAAATACTTTTAAGTATTTCTGAAAGCTGAAATGCTTAAAAGTATGATATTAGTTGTGCTTCCCTGGTGGTGCAAAACTAGCTGCCAAACTGGGCTTCCCTGGTGGCTCAGATGGTAAAGAATCTGCCTGCAATGTGGGAGAGCCAGTTTGATCCCTGGGTCAGGAAGATCCCTACAGGAGGGCATGGCAACCCAGTCCAGTCTTCTTACCTGGAGAATCCCCATGGATAGAGGAGCCTGGCAGACTACAGTCCATGGGGTCACAAAGAGTCGGACACAACTGACCAACTAAGTGCAGCACAGAGCTGCCAAGTTAGTAAAACAATAAAGAATCCCAAACAGCTATAACACTAGGAGTTTGTTATATGGTGAAATTTACATGGGTGACCAAATCTAAGAACTTGGAGGCACTTAAACCTGAGACCCCCTCTTAGATCTGCCTTTTGTAGATAAGTATGATAAGGTGTCTAGGCCTCAGTTCACTCACCTGTAAAATGGGGATAAAAATAATTATACTATAATTTTATTATGAGGATCTAATGGAATCTGTAGTCATTAAATTTTTAAATTCATTAAAAATATTTAGCATAGTATCTCAGTATGCAATAAAGAATTCTTATGACATGCTTGATAAACCAATTGGAAAGTAAAGAAATCTACAAGAAATGATGCTGAGATAATTAAGGAAAAATATTTATATGTTATCTGTTTGTGTTTTATATGTTACATGTTACAGAGTATAGCAATGAGTTAAAGCATTAAATGCAAATATTAAAACTACAAAACAACTAGAAGAAAGTATGAGTGACTCTTCCTGACCTCATGATAGAGAGGGCTTAACAAATAAAAGAAATGAAGTAACAGTACAAAGACAAGAACAGGTAAGGAGTAAAATTTTAACTACAGGAGAATACTGAACTGCTTCATGTAAAAGAAAATTTACCATTAATAAAAATAGAAAACAAAAAACTGAAAAAAAATACTTTCAGCAATATGTATAACAGATTTGGAGTTAATAACTTTAATATATAAACAGCTCTTTAAAAGCAATACAAAAAATACTGACCACTCAATAGGAAGTTACAAAGAATCTGAAAATATAATTCATACGTTAAAAAAATTAACTAGTAAGTACAAGCAGTAATAATGAAGTTTTTAATTTCATCTGGAATTTCCAGATGCTGTATATTTGTAGGGTATGTGAAGCCAAAGAAATCCATAAAGAGAAAGGCAGAAATGAAAGTATTTTATACATGACTGTCAGGAACTGCCTGAAACTGACTCAAATACGTGAAGAAGCATTGTGCAGCTCCCATTTAACACCTCAGGAGTTCTTTAAATTTTTAGATGTCAAAGCTCCCTTTCTCTGCCATTCCATGTTTTTCTCTGATGTTTCTAACGTGGTGCATGTGGCTTTCAAATCTGACAATTTCCATGTCATAAATACATATCTGAATGAGTGTGAACTAAGTAGTTAATAAAACATCCCTGAAGAAAAATGGAAAGAGATGTAGTTTGGGGTCTTGCTGTCTTACCACTAGCTGAGATTCAGGCCATAGGTGAGACACATCACTTCTCCAAATGTAGGAGGATTAAATCACTTTCTTCCAAGAAAGTCTGTAATTCCTGCACCCCACTCCAGCCCTGCAGAGTCAGAAGGCCAGACTTGGAAATTGGCATTTTTAGCAAGCAACCCAATTAATGACTAGGTACTTCAAGTTGAAAAACACCCTAATGGCAGACCACCAAGTCCCTTCTAATGTCAAAAATAAAGTATTCTGAAGGAAAAATTATGCATGCAGAATAGTGCTCCACTCTGCCCATCTGAGAGTGAGTGCCCACCTCCACTCCCAAGTTTGGGTTCTCAGATCCAAGTTATATTTCAGCTGATATCTTTTTAGGTTTTGTTCTCCTAATCCCATGCATCAAATTACACTCACTGAAGCTGCCAGTCTTCTAAAGTGCTTTCAGAAGGCACATAAATCCAACCCTGAGTCCTCATGATCCAGACATTTAATCACACCATAAAGTTAATGGAATCCAATTTGAGTGTAGACACCTCAACAGCTACGTTGCATTGAATTCACAGCATTCATAAAATGTGGGTCTCAAAATGAATCACCGGCCTGACGGAAAGTTCAGAGAAGAACGCCACCCTCTCATTGGTCACTGTCCTAATCTTCAGCTGCCAGGAAAAGGACCAGAGCTGTCAACACAACACTGTAGCCCAGGCAACCAGCCATGCTGCTAGGAACTTTTCAACACTTAAAAAAATAAAAGTTACTATGGAAACTCTCAGAGACTCTTTAGATTGCTTGGACAGTCCATGGTTTATAACAGTCATAATGCTTCATGGCCAGCCATCACCTATCAACCCTAGGGCCTCCCATCATTCACAACCCAGAAATGGGTTACTTTTGGGATGCTCCAGACTTTTGCCTTAGGGCGGTGAAGTGTGTTCCTCCGGTGGCACCTGTACTCTGGGCTAAGAGTAAATAGATACTGGGTTTCCAAGAGCCCCCAAATCCATTAGTTAATGAAGTAGTAATGGTGGTGGCCCTCCAGACATCCAGATGTGGTGTCAATGATGTTTGACTTCCAGGAGGTGAAGACATCTGCATGATTGATCCTGAGCTTTGATGTTCAACCTTAGCGGCAGCTCCGCTTTGAAATGAGGCTGGGGGTGGGGGGGTTGCAGTCATTGCTGAGGTACCTGTATGAGCTCGCTTTATTGGCAATGCCTCTTCACACTAGTTTTCCCACCTTGGACAGGCTGGCTTTGCCTGAAGGAACCTCAGGCAGCGCAGAACTACTTGGATCAACCTTCCCAATTACGCTTTCTGTCCTTCACGATTCTGCAGCCACTGCTAAGCTAAGGGGAAGGAAGACCCAACCCTTTCCTATTTTTTTTTTAAAGTCAGCTGCCAGAATCCACCCATTCTTTAAAATGTATTTATCTGAAGTATGAACTTTGCATATACGGGAAGGAGGCAGGGTTCTCAAAATGTTCTGTCTACTTTTCTAGTCTAATATGCTGAACTACAAATTTAATCCACTGAAGTGGTTTCATGCAAACACTCCTCTCAATCTCCTTTTGTACAAAATCTTGATGCATAATGTATAGAGTCTGAAAATGGATTAAGCTACATTTGGAGATGGCTTGAGTTTTTTTTTTTTTTTTAAGCAAGCAAAAACGAGCAGGTTTTTTGTTGTTGCCTTTTTTAACCCTTCTTGCTCAAAGCAGTCACATGGATTGTGTCTTCTCAAAGCTGCTTTCTACACAATGTTTCTTATCTGTTTTTTTTTTTCTGTCAAAAAGCTTGAAATGTAAAACGATTTAATTAGAAACGTAAAGAGTGAATTGGACTCATTTCCCTCAGATTTCCCAACTAAAGCAAGCAAATAGAATGGTAAAACCTTCTGATTTACTCCTGGAAGATAATTCAGCCGCTGAATAAGCAAATGAGTGAAATCTTACTGAATTAAGTGTTCCCTGGTACTCCAGGATCACCATTACCCAGAGGACTGTGGCCACAGACAGATAGAATGCCAGTCTCTGTGTTATGTAGTAAATGCTCAGACACACATTTCCTCCAGTGCCAATCAAAGCCAAAAAGATGAAAAAGGAGATGGCCATGGGACTGCCAAGGTCTCCAAAGGAATCACAGAGACTTGGCTACAATCCCAGGTTTCAATGGGTCAGTACGTTTATAATGCTGTATTTCGTGATTGCTAATTTTTACATAGCATTTGAATACTATGTAAATCGTACTGGAAAGAAAATTGCAGCTAAAATCAGAAGATCTGGACTTAGGCCCTAGGTCTGACCCTACACAGTCATGTGACTTTTTAAAAATTTATTTATTTATTTCTGGCTGCACCAAATTTTTGTTGCTGCATGTGGGTTTTCTCCAGTTGCAGCACACGGGCTTCTCATTGCAGTGGCTTCCCTCATTAAGAAGCATGACTGTGAGGGCTCAGTAGTTGCGACATGCAGGCTTAGTTGCCTCGCGGCATGTGAAATCTTCCAGACCAGGTATCAAACCCGTGTTGCCTGCATTGGCAGGAAGGTCCAGATTCACTGGACCACCAGGGAACTCCCACAGTTCCCATGTGACTTTAAACTCACCTGTTCTCGCTGGTTTCAGTTTCATCATCTGTCAAGTGAGGACAGCCATCCTCCCTCCAGCTCCTCAGGCACATCCAGGGCCTCCGGAAGAACAGGTGAGATGGGTGGGAAAATCCTTGGCAAAGTCTCAGCTTTAGGGATGCTGCTGAACCCCTTGTTTTTTTAATTAACCACTGTGCTCTCCTGAGAAGGTCATGGTATCCTCAGCTCTTCTCCCACATCCTTCATCATCCAGGTTTCCCCCAAGCCACGGGCGAAGTGACCAGGCTTCTCTGAGGCCAGCTTTCCTGCCACTGCACAGCGGGCCACTTCTGGGGGGCTCCATCTTTGCAACCCCAAGGGTTTTAAGCTGACAAGGCCTTACTGTGACACTTGAAAACATGGCTTCAGATAAAGAGAAAAACAACACCCTGCAACCCAATGTGGCTCACGGCCTCCATTCCAAGCCCTCACTTTAACCTAATTGTTCCTGACCTGGTGACTAGCATTTTTTGCTGTGTTTGTTTCACCTCTCCTGATAATCCCAGTTACCTGGCTTGGTTGGGCCTATTGAGTTTTCTTCTCCATCATGATTGAAATGATTTACTTAATCGTTCTCTCTTTACTCAGCCCACCTTGGTCCTAGCGCCTCACACTCCAGCCCTGAGAATGGGATGCAAAGAGAAGATATCGTACACAGTGTAGGAGCTGAGGTGTGCCTCCCCAGACAAGTAGTATAGAGATTTCTGCCAGCACAGAGGATATTTTCTCTTTTGGAGCTACAGACTTAGAACAACTGGACAATTTCAAATTCTATGGGACAGGTACCTTGGGAGAAGGTGATGAGAGGAAAAGTAGTAGTTTTTCACCCCACTCACCTCATCTTCCTACTTTAAATGTTACCACACACCAAGAAACCACAAAGGAACTATAACCTACTTGCATCTGTCCATTTGACCTTGATTTTTATTGAATGGGAAAGAAAGACTAATTCAAATTCATTCCCCCTGATTTCACAGTAATATAGATTTTACCAAATTTTTATTTAAATCTCTATACTGTAGTGAGAGGAAGACCTTGAATGTCTTGTTCTTTGGAGTACTTCTAGAACTTAGCAAACAGAAGGTGTTTAAAAAATATTCATTGCCTGAATGAATACATAAGAAAAGACATGGTGATATTTGAAAGATTTCTTATTATCTGATGCTGATAGAGAGTAAAGTTAATGATTTAGAGAACAAGTATCCAGCAGCAGAGCCCACTAATACCTTTTAAAATGTGTTGATGCTCATAAATCCAAAATAAATGACCTGTAAAATCACTTAAGAAGAAATAATACGCATTTAATCAAGCTTCCAGAGGAATGACTGAGGGTAAAGCTGAGAATTTCAAGAAGAATTATTAAATCTCTTCAAATTCAGTCACTGGCCGACCTCACACACACCACATGTCCTTCTGCCCACAGGGCTGCCACTCTAGGAAGTCTTGCTCACCCCTTCCGTTTTGAAACTCCTGAATTACAGCCACCTCCTGGAGCCAGAGGGAAAGGCTTTGGATCATCTGAAAAGGGTAAGTCCTCTTGCAGGTCTACCCAGCACATTCTGCTACATTCCCCAGAAGGATCTTAAATAAAGAGGGAGAAACTGAACACATCACCCACATCCTAAAGCTAGCATCTTCAAAGTCTTACACAAGGTTTTAGCTTCAAGTCAAAGGGTCCTTCCTCTGGCCAATAAAATTCAAAACACTGAAATGCCAGTCTGTGCCTCTGCTTTACAATCCTGTTGAAATTTTTGGCCTCTAACCATGTTCTGGAATCTTCCATTTCATCCTAGATTTTTACTTCTTAGTCTGCCAGTAAGAGTTACTTTACCTTTCCCGAAGCGTGACTAAGGTCCTGAGGGTGGTAGTAAAATGGATCCATCTTTTTGTTACAAACTCAATTAGCAGAAGTTGGAATTGCTCTCTTCAACAAAGTTACATAAATTGTTAATGAGAAATTTACCTTCACTTGATTCGCTAGTTGCCTTATTAGCTTGGAGTCAATGCTATTAAAAGAAGATGTTTATAAAAGCTTAAGGTGTTTGCTGGATTGAATGTTAAAAAGAAGATGGCAGGTTATCACCACTGACTGCCTGTCCAAAACCCAGAGGGGTTTCTACGCTTCATCCAAAATGAACAATTCTGAGCCCACGTTTGGGGTCTCCTTGTCAGGGAAATAGCAATTTATTGGGAAGGCAGAAGCGCCACCCATTCCTGGGATGCACCTAAAGCTTTTCAGCAACTGTCACGAGAGTGTTTTCTCAGCCCGGTGGACACCAGCCTGAAGAAAGGCCACCCAGTTGCAGGTGAGTCTAAACACCTTTTCTCCTTTGGTAAGGAAGGCACTAAAACACCCTCCATAAATGTCAGGGGCACAGGAGAAGGAGGCTATTTTTCACTCAAGATAATTCACATGAAGACCTCAAAACCGCCACCCAAAGAAAACCCAGACGTCTCCCTCATGTGGCATTCCTAAGATGCCTCCTCTGAAAAACGACGACCAGCTCTAAGCACAGTGCCAAGGTCAGTCAAAGTTATTTTCAGCCCCTTCTTCCTTTCTCTCACAAAAATGCTCTCCTGCCTTGCCCCCCTCCCCCGCCACCAGTCCCCACCATGTAGCCTACAGATTGGTTCACACTCACCCATCCCAACCCCTTCAGAGCCACTGTTTGGCTCTGCTGAGGGTGACAAGCCGAATGGCCTCATTTCCCAGGGTGCTCTGCAGCTTAGTTCGACATGTCACCTGACTTCAGCCGTGCAGACACTGCCCGCAGGACATCACGAAGCGGAAAGTAGATGTCAAGGTAGAGGCTGCGCCAAGCACTTCTGCTCGCCAGCACAGGGCAGAGGCGTGTGGATCCACACCCTACCCTGTGACACCTGAGAGGCGAGTCACGGGTCGCTTGGTTGGTCGTGTTGGGGTAGGCGTAGTGAGGATGAGAGCCAGCAGTTGTAGAGGTGACTTCCTTCTTCACCAACTTGATCATATAGCAGAGACGGCCGCTATCTGAGTGGATCAGTTCTGAACTGTGTGACTACTGGAAATTCTGCTGAAAGTTTCTTCCTCCAACCCTTCTAGGGACTTCTGCAAGCTCCTCATCTCTGGCATGGGATCCATTTTTTATTTATTTATTTTTTAATAGACTGAATCCTGTTATCTGCAACTAAACTCTGACAGAGACACTTCCTGCCTACATAAGCAACCAAAACCTTTAATGCTTGCTCCCTACCACCATCTTCATAGATGAAATGAGTTGATAAACTAATTTTACAATCAGTAGTTAATAACCAATAAAGTTTGTGGGTATTTGCTTAACCCCCCAAAAAAATATTCTAA